CAGGCGGGTCTCGAACCCGCGGGCTCAGGCGATCCACTCACCTCAACCTCCCAAAGGCGCGGGTTTAACTGTTTATTTGCCTCCCCCCATGTTTCTAAATTAAGCTTGTGTTGCACTTCCTTAATTTTCAGGTGTAGGCATTATCTGTTGTCTATACTATTTAATTCTTTCCTCCTTGCCATCCTTCCTCCATGTGGCTCCTCCCTTTTTCCTCATCCTATAATATTTGGGTTAATCAAAAGCCTTGTTATTTGCATAATTATACTAATATAGTCACAGCTGAAACATGTAGCTAGCTATTACTTTCGTCTTCCCTCAAAACTTTTTCCCTCTGGAGTTAATAATTGTCTTGTCTTCCATTGCTTATTTTTTTTCTGTGTTCCTCTCTGAGATTGAAGGTAAACTCTCGACCATTTATATTAATCTCATCTCAAGGGATCTGGTTAGATCAGTTATTCTCCTAATTTCATCTTCCTAAGAAAGTCTCTCCTGAGGCCTCTCGGACCTGCTCCAATATAGAGCTCCCGACCCTGCGGCGTCATCCTGAGGCCTCCTGCCACCGGTGGCCCTGGGAGTTCCCTTGGCCTCCACAATGCAGCTCCCCAGTCCTTGACTTTCCTCTTTCTTGGGAAACACATCCCCTGACAGCTTTCTAATAAAGGGTAGGAGGGAGGCACGTCTAAATATGTCTTTATTTTATCCTCAAACTTCATTTGACAGTTTGGTCAGGTATTTTGTGCAGGAAATTTTTCTTCAGAATTTTAAAGGCCTGTGATATTGCCGCCTCTATTCCAGAAGTCTAAAACCATTTTGAATCTAGATCTTTCCTCACCCTTTTTATAGGAAATGTGTAGGAAACTTTCTTGGTCCCCCTGCTCCAAATTCTACAGCGATGTGCTTTGGTAGAGTTCTGTTTTCATGTTCTGTGCCAGACACACAGTGGGCCCTTCCAACTGAAAACGTGTCATTACATTCTGGCAAATTTTCTTTCTTTAAAACGTTTTTTAAAAACCCTATTATTTTATTTTTACTTATTTTTGAATAGGTATTTCATTCACTGACTCAAAAATAAAACTAGGACCGGCTTGGTGGGTTCATGCCTATAATCTCAGCACTTTGGAAGGCTGAGGTGGGAGGATTGCTTGAGCCTAGGAGTTTGAGACCAGCCTGGCTACATAGTGAGACTCCGTCTCTAAAAAAAATAATTAAAAAATTAGCTGGGCTTGTTGGCACATGCCTGTATCCCCAGCTTCCTGGAAGGCTGAGGCAGAAGGATTGCCTGAGCCCAGGAGATCAAGGCTGTGGTGAGCCATCATCATGCCACTGCACTCCAGCCTGGGCAATAGAGTGAAACCCTGACTCAGAAAGCAACAACCGATGGACAAAAAAACTATATTATTTTGCATGCCTTTTTAAAATTATGTTTTATTTTAAAGATGTGGTGTACAGCCGGACTCGGTGGCTCAGCCTGTAATCCCGCGCCTTTGGGAGGCTGAGGTGAGTGGATTGCCTGAGCCCGCGGGAA